AAGACAAAAACAAACCAGTTTTGGGGAATGTGATATTGAAAGGTATGGAATATTTCCTGCCACCACAAAGATACAGGAAGACAGTGGCATTAACATCACTGATGTGCATTCAAACCAGGTGAGACTGGAACTAAACTAGGCATACTCACTGCTGCTCTGGAGAAGCCTGAACTGTGTTTTGGGAGCTGGTACCTCATTTTATGCTGAACAATTCCAAAAGGTTTCCTGCATTTTACAGCATACTGCGTGTGTGATGTCCACCACTCCACAGCATGAATTGGGAATAAGCAGAAGTGTACATTTCTGCTGCCTCCCACCCAACAGTGGCTTGAACAGGAGTGCCTGCTTTCACATGAAGTTAGCCCATGGGAACAGCAATGAGAAATCTAACCTACAAAATAATTTTTGCTCCATCATTCAATCACATTCACGATGCAGTGATTGAGATTGTCAACTGGATGAGATGAGTTCTGAAAATGCCTGCCAATCACAGTGCAAGAAAAGGGTAGTATGCAGAATTCTAATCTCCTGAAACAAAAACAGAAATTGCTGGTGAAACTCAGGTGGTCCGGCAGCATTTGTGGAAGAAAGCAGAGTTAATGTTTTGAGTTGGGTGACCCTTCCTCAGAAGGACCTTTCAGAAGAGACCCTTCTGAAGAAGGGTCAAGGGATTTGAAATGTTAACTCTTGTTTTTCTCTGCACAGATGCTGCCAGACATTGAGTTTCTCCAGCATTTTTTTTTTGTTTCAGATGTCCAGCATCTGCAGTTCTTTGTTTTATTTCAATGACATCTCTCTTCAATCTGCAAAGAAGAAGCATCCTCAACATAGAGGGTTTCAAACAGATTTGGCCATCCTCAGCCCAGATGTTAAAGAACTGATCTACACATTGTTGCTAAAATCCAGGAGGTACATAACAGCTTTTTACGGTAACTAATCATATAATTTTAACAGTTCTGAGGAAGGGTCACTGGACCCGAAACGTTAACTCTGATTTCTCACCACAGATGCTGCCAGACCTGCTGAGCTTTTCCAGCAATTTCCATTTTCTGTTGCTTACAATTTTACATCCACTTGCAGAGATATGGAGGTGGGAGAGAAAAGAAACAAGATTTAGCATCTGTTGGTCATTCGACTGACAGATTGGGCATTGTAAGGGAGAAAGGGGAAGAAAATACAGCCTCAAGCAGTTGACCAACTGTTACAGCAATTAGAGTAGAAACACACATCTCTCCAAATAGACTTCTGATTTGCTTTTCCAGATCTTATAAATATGAGCCCATCTCAAAGCCACCAGAATTTTCAATATGTCAGCAAAGAAACTTCAACTCACATGGTATTAAATGGTTTCCCTCATTTGCCTGCAGTTACTCAGTAAGAAACACTTTACTAGACTTGTGCCCATTCATTTCCACTAGAATATCTTTGTTGCTTATTGTGCAGCTAGTTATGTGCTGTCATCTGCTACCTTTTGAGATCTACAGACAATTGTTAAAGTCTTCAGTAAAATGTTCACATTCTCTTTATTTGATGTTCTACAATTAATTTTTTTGAGAATCAAACATTCAACCCACCTTACACTGTATTTGAGCTTCTGCAGTGATTCCTCTTCAATTAGTCCTAAGTTATCTGTACTTGAACACTATAATCTGTTTAATAGTTACTGGGTAGTCCTCAACAGTTAATAATTTTTCTCAGAAATTAACTTCAGTATTTAGCTCTGACACAGAGCATTTAAAACTCAAATTAATTAGAGTATGATAACACTCAATAATAACAGAAGAAGAACATATTTGAAAGTTCTTACAAATGCAATCTAACTAATTAAGATAGTTAATAGGAATATCCAACATTAGATACTTTCTTAAAATTAAACAAGTCAAATGGAGAAACTCAATGCTTGGTTGATGAAGGAGGATAGCACAGATTAGAAACAAGGGGCCATTTTCTCTCCTTGTATACTTCCTGACCCACAAGATCTCAGCTGAACTCAAATTCACTCAAAACCCATTCAATTACAAGTCCATTTATATCCTGTGGAATCAAACCATGTTTAACAATGCTTGCAAAAACCAATTTAACTTCATATTGGATGTAAAATTACACCAGTAGATGGATTGAGGCAGTGTCAGAGATGGTCCACATTAAGTAGGCAGTCTTTATAATGGTGAGGGTATAGGGTCAGAAGCTAAGTTTAGGATCAAAGATGTTATGGTGGTGAACAGGGTGGTTGAGTAGATCAATGTTGTTCAATTCTTCAAGAACGACGATTTCCTGGACAATGATTTGATTCCATGATGACATCAAGACTGGAAATGGGAGAGAAATGGGGTTTACCTTTTCAATGTCAGAATCCTACATTTACATTTTAGATGCCTTCTAGATAACTAACTCAAAACTTAGATTAGTCTAGTCAAAATTTGTATAGTCTGATAACTTAGCTGTACAATTAAGTCCAGTCTGCTTAAAAAAAATTGTACCCACAAAAATCTCCAATTATACTGATCTGAATATCCATTTTCAAAAAATTTATCAACCTGATCAAGAGACAGTTGCATAATTACACAGACTTTGCACATTCTACTGGGACTGGGTAATCAGCAAACCCTGACTTTTATTTGGTAAATGCAATGGATAAAAAGCTTTCCAATTCACTTCATAACAATGACCTTATTAACATTTTTAAGTCCAGCTGATCACTTTTACCATGTGTATGTGAAACAATCACTTACGTTAATCAAAGAGATTTATTTATGACACTGGATGCCCCCTTGATTTCTTTTTTTATTAATTTTTTTCAATTAAGTGTTTGCTGAACAACACTGATCTCGCTGTACAACTGGGCCAGAAATAGCAAAGATGGCTGGAAATGCTGCTAGGACAGTTCACATCCTAAAGAAGGTTCAGCTTTATTTGTTGCTCTCAGCACCATCTAGTGCTGGAATCCTGTAACTTTAATTGGTAAGAAAGCCCATTAATACTCTGGCACACTAGATACCCACAAAGTGGGCAAATGCAGCCTATTTTACTTTCTCCCCCTGTACGGTATGGAGAGATGCCAATCTGCTACAACGGAATAGATGGAGCAACACCATAGGAGCTGGACATCCGTCATCATGTTAGTAACATAACAGCTGTTACAGTCAGACCACAAAATTGTACATCAATTCAAAAAGCCTGTAAGTACACTTTCCTCAACGATCTCTCACAGTACATGTCCCCTCAGAAATCCTTCATTTCTCAGCCTAAATTTGGATTGTTATAAAGTTAATAAATATCCAGGGCATCAGAGGTGAGCCCAATTATCTAATGTTAAAATGCAAATAATTTCAACGGCCACTGCATAGTAATTAAGGGAAAGATTCCCAATATTGCCCAGTCTCCACCAAACCCCTTTGTCCAGGGGCATCAGATCAAATTGTAGCAACCCTATTATAGGTTAGAAATCGAGTCAGAATATATATTTATATTTGTCTTACAACATCACCAAGGAGTACTCACTAGGGCATCATTTGTTGAGCCAGGATTGCTGAAAAATGCACTGGCTACAGGAAATCTATTACTTGTCGTTTTTACACCAAGTACAGTTTCCCAAAGTCATTCCATATTCCCACCAAATCCAAGATCAAATTTGTGAAACATGAACTTGTGCTACTGTTCTTTTCAACAGCACTTAAAAATATAAAACTGTACAACAAATCTGCTATCTTAAACTGCAACTGCTAGAAATCTTAAATTTAATCACACTGATGAGTTAGCTACAATGTCAGGCAGCCTGGATTTAATACAGTGAAATTTGCTGTCCTTGCATTTGACATTAATAGGACACCTTGCTCACAAGACTGAAAAACATGTGTCCTCAGCGCTGGATAGTAATGCATGTGCATGAGAGTGAGCAGTACCAGTATGCTGGTAGGAGGTACTGCATCATCAAGCTGTTACTAGAAAGAAAAAAAAATTGTTTCAGCAGTTCTAATATAAATCCAACTCTTGTCTAATCCCATGATAAAATTGTCCTTAATATTCACATAATCTAAGTTTCTGTCCTTTTCCCATTTTTCTTTACTTTTCAAAAAAAAACTGTCCATTTCTCTCTCATGCACTTCCAAAATGTGAGGTGGGAGTTTGTAATTATACTTTTTCTACTTTGATAAATATTGCATTTCATAGATTTAAGGTTAACAATTTACAGCATATACTTGATTCACAGGAGATATGTCAAATTATTTTTAAACGTTTAAGAAAAGATATAACCACAAAATGCAGTTTTTGGCTGTAGATCAGTCATTTGGTCAATTAAAGTTTCACGATATATGTCATTTGACTGGAGCTCTGATACTGGGCCATCTATGTGCCAAATGATACAATACAATCACTACAGAGATAGCAGGAACTGCCGATGCTGGAGAATCTGAGATAACAAGTTGTAGAGCTGGATGAACACAGCAGGCCAAGCAGCATCAGAGGAGCAGGAAAACTGACGTTTCGGGTCTAGAATACAATCACTACTTGTTTTGCAAACTTCCCTTACAGACTAGCTATCTACTAATGCACTGAACACCGTTTGAAACGTTACAAGTTCCTCAACAGCAAGAAAGAGTTCAGAAGGGCTGCCTATATTTTGGACTTTTGTTCTCTCGTTCACTTGTTGGAAACATTTCCAGCATGTAAATGACCACATAAGCGGGGCACAAAAAGTAAAAGACAACCGGAGAAGAAGAATGTGGTAGCCACTTCCAGATCATAACTGCAACAACCACCTGAGGGAATTACCTGCGTGAATCCTGCACCCTGCCCGTTATTATAACAAGACTGCGTCTATTTCTGAACACCAAGTTGCAAGCCGGGGTACATTTTAAAATGTCATAATCGGGGCTTTAGACCTCTTAAAATGTATTTCTAAATCTTTCATGAAGAATCAGCATGATTTTTAAAAAAAAAGCTACTGCTGTTTTTGTTTAATGTAACCTGTTTTAAACGCACTGAAACAATGCTCTTACCTTGACACAATAGACCGCAGCAGCGATCCGGCTGCTGCATCCAGGGTCTGGCCAGGAGCCGCTTTGCACTGACAAGTACTGGAAAGGGTTAAAAGCTAAAAGCCAAGTAAGAACATGGCACAGCTCATCCTGCCATATTCCAGTTCCTTTTTTATTTTCACCCAATTCCCTCTGAAAGCGCTGCGACCGAAATAATTCAGATCTTGATAGACCACACACACCACCGCAACCTCCTTTCAAACTCTCTTAGAGAAAAAGAAACCGCGATGCTGCAAAAATGCAGTTCTGGGTTGATGTCTGCTTCTCCCCCCGCTTTTTTTTTGGCGTCCACAGGCGCCTCGATCCCTTTTCAACCTTTATTAAAGCAACGAAAGTCACAACACGGAAATACGTGCAGCGCAAGCGCACTTCCGCCTCGGGAATAAAGGACCAGCAGTGCAAATAAATAATTAAATTTTAATGTTCAATATTCACTGACTATAGCTTGCTCATCAAAGGCCCTTCTCTCCTGGAATTATGTTCTTTTTATTTAATCTTTCATCAACGCTTTTGCCCACCCATGTCTTTAAATATTTTCTTTTTGCAACTATTAATATTTATAGATAGGAGAGTCAGAAATGTTACTGAGTTTTTATTTTTCCACCACGCATACAATATATACACAGGCTTAACATGAAGACGTGGAACAAAAAATAGTCCACATTGGGTTTTAAATGTTAGCATTTCAAGTTTGGCTTGTTTACAGTGTGCAAGTGAAATATTTCTAATTTACAAACTGGCTAAACTATCTTGAGGACCAAGCTGACAGGTTTGGTGTCTTAGCTGCACTTCAGACAGGACCATAGCCCTTAAATGTCTGTGGCCGAACAGGTGGTTATGAACATCAGTTACACCAACTGAAGCTTATTTAAAAGCAACACTGATTTAAATAAAAATCTTGAGCTTGTTGCCCTTCAGGGCTGTGCCCCACCCTACTTCTTTAATCTTTTGCATCACTAATTTCTGAGTTCCTATATCTGTTGTTCATACATCTATTCTTCTGATCAGGCCTATTCCGGTCTACCATTAGTGGCAATATGCTCTTTGACACATCGCTCCCCATTTTCAGCCTTCCTGCTCCTATGATGCTGCTTGGCCTGCTGTGTTCATCCAGCTCTACACCTCATTACCTCTTAAGTACAAACTGTGTTTTCTGTCATCTCCTCATGCCATAATTTCAAGCTGCTGCTGGGTATCCATTTCCTCTTTGAAGATTGACTTTGATTGTTTCCCCATGTCAAAAGTCCTGTGTGTAGGCATTTAAGTCACAGCTATGTGCATAAAAATAAAAACATGCAACTACATTCTTGGCAAAGGGAGACCTGTTTTGTATTCAGTAATATTACTGTGGCATAGAAAGCATTCGATATCATATTCACTAAGCCTTCAATGCATCAATGTATGTTTCGTATCTGTAAATAAGCCATTGCAGATGATATAATAGGATCTTAAGAACAAAATTGTCAATTATTTTAGATGTCTTTGATGCTTCAAACCTGAGGAATAGAGAGTAAACAAAGTGTTAATAAAAGTGAGATTTATAAATTAATATCAGCAGTAAAAAGTAAACAAATTTAAAGGGTTAGAAGCCAACCAATTCCCATGGCATCATGGTCTACATTCTTGGGTTCTACAACAGGTAGCTGCGTAGATAGTTGGTGCACTGGTTAACATTTTTTCCACATTCCATAGATTCTAGAATGGTCCAAGTAATTTGGAAGTAATCAAATTAACTCTCCTATTCAAGAAAGAAGGGAGAACGAGACCAGAAACTCCAAGTCCGTAATCTGATATCAGTCAATAGAAACTGCAGGAATCTATTATGAAGAAAGTCTTAACAATGCCAATTAAAATATCATAGTATGATCACATCAAGTCAGAGACAGGGAAATCTCCATTGGTTGGAGTTATACATTGCATGAAAGAGAGGGTTGTCGTTTTTGGAGGCTAATCATCTTAGTTCGAGGACATTGATGCAGAAATTCTTTCAAGGATAGTGACCTAGGTCCAACCATCCTTTGCTGGTTCATCAATGACCTTCCTTCCACCTTAAAGTCAGACATGTAGATGTTTAGTGATGACTGCACAATTTTCAACATAATTTTTGTGACTCTTCAAACATTGAAGCATCCCTTAACCATATAAAGCAAGACCTGAACAATATCCAGACCTTGTGAAGTGCTAAATAACATTCACACGACACTGATATCAAGCATTGACTGAGATATAAAGTAAGGGGCAGGAAGTTTAGAATTCTTTTTTTCACCCAGGGGGTGATGGGAATCTGGAACTCACTGTTTGTAAGAGTAGTAGAAGCATAAACCTCATAAAAAGTATTTAAAAGTACACTTCAATGCCAAGTCATACACGTGTATGTGCCAATGTATGGATTTTCCACACCCGCTAATTCACTGATCTAACAAGTGGATCTGAATGCTTAAATTTTTCCAGTGGAAAGATTTGTATTGGAGGAATTTGATTCAAGTTTTGATTGTTGATAGGTATTTAAAGATGTTGCAATTTTCTTGCGTTGGAAGAATATTTGAAGGACTTTGATCTCCTTGTACTACACTATGTTTGTCATCTTGCATTACTTTTAGTTGATTAAAGTTGTTAAGTCTTTGTTGTGTAGATTGTTGTTGCAGTTCTAAAACTGAAAGCTGTTAATGGTTTCTGTTGTTCAAAATGCCATTTCCCTTGCAAAGTTTGGTTTTCCTTGTCCAAAATGGCACTTCCATTGAGATAAATAAAGATATTCCTTTCCAAATGACTGAAGAGCATCCAAAGGATGCTCTCAAAATGGCTTCACTCAATAAGACTTTTTGATTTTGTTTTGATGTGTTTAACATGGTTGCTATGCCATTGATCGTACCAAATTCTTCTGCATCTGAGGTACTTTCACTTAAAATTTGACAACTTTGCAAAGAGAGTTGCAAGATGACACAATCTTGTTTGACAACTGCCTAACTTCAAAGGGGTCTATAATGGATTCATTGCTCTAGTAATGCAGACATAACTCCACAGGGACCGATATCCCATCATCAAGTCACCCTTTATTTACATGTGGAGAGTCTTTGACAATGATCCAGCTCCCTTGGAGCCAGATCATAGAGTAAACAGGATGTCTGACACTACTGTTCTTATCTATAAGCCAGGGTTCCCTGATTGGACCAGATTAACTGCCCCAACCAGGGAACCCATACTCTACGAAGTCCCCCGGCTGATCTCGTTACAATCACTACATCCATCCCCCTCTGAGTCCGAGGACACAGGCTAGTTCTTTTTTTTGTAGCTCTTCCTGGGGCATTTTAGCACCGGTCAGGTTCCTCCAACTCTACCTCTGATATAGATGGTGTGCAACGGACAGTAGCTCACCTATTGCGCCTGGAGCGTCTCAGAAGAAATTCATTCACTTCTTCTGGCAATAAGGGTGTCAAGGAAGCGACATCCACTGTGTCATCTCAGATTGCAAGGTATCTTCAGCACTTGACCAAGAGGGAGACCCCATGGATTCCAGAATAGTCGGAAAGGCTGTTGAAGATCTGGGCACATTTTGCAAGTTTGCAGCTTTCATATGGTCCACATGCTTGTTAAGGACCATCGCACCCACCTGAGCTTTATACGTCACTGGACCTGACCTTGCATCGAACATGTCTCTTACCCATGCAAGGCCATTCCCATGGATCTTATACCAAGCATTGCCCCCTGAAAGTAAACTGTGTTTCTTGGTTTAGCAGAGTCTTGTGTCTGGCGTTGGCATTCCTGATGCTGTTTCACCCTCCACTCCAGATACAAAGAGATCAGATTTAACTTGGTGCAGTCTTCTCCCCATTAGCAACTCTGCTGGAGACATCCCTTTACGTATGAGGGGTGGTCCGGTAATCAAATAGGATCTGGGACAGTGTGGTATCTAGTGAAGCTGTAGGCTGTTTCTTTAAATGGTCCAGCAGAAAGAGTTTCCTATTCAACTCAAGAAAATATTCAAATTCCCTGCTGGTAAACGATGACCCGTTACCTGTGACCAATACTTCCAGGAGTCTGTGTATTGCAAAAGATGCGCACAGTTTTTCTATCATGGTCTCCATGTTTGACGAATGAACTGTGTACCCATCCGGCTGCTTATGGTGGGCGTCCACAATGTCTAAGAACACAGAGCCCATGAAAGGACCTGAACTGTCGATGTGTAACTGACTCCAGGGTTTAACTGGCCATTCCCTTGAATGTAAGGGAGTTGCTGGTGGTAATTTTTCTCCTTGTTGGCATTCTGGGAACTGATCCACCAATGTGGCTATGTCTGCATTCAATCCTGGACACCAGACATAACTTCTTGCCAACATCTTCATTTTGGAAACACCTGGATGACCTTGAAGTTTAGCCAGTATCTGGCGGTGGCCTTTGCTCAGGGCAATCACTTTTGTTCCTCATAAAAATATGCCATCCTCTACTGTGATCTGGTCTCTCTGGGTCCAAAAAGGTTTCAGTTCTGATTGTGATGGCCCTTTGGTTTCCCCCATCACCACCAGCTGTTTCAGTTTTGCCAGTACTGAATCTTTCTGCATCCAAAGTCAGATGTTGTCAGTTGTGACGGGAAGTGTATCCAGAAAATTTAAAACCATTATAGACTCTTCCAGTGGTGGTACCACCGGTGGCATATCTGCCAGCAGGAGGTGCCTCAATGCATCCACATTTGCTAAAAGCCTCCCAGATAGTGTTCCAACTTATAATTATATGCTTTTAGTATTAGAGGCCACTGCTGAATTCGGACTGAAGCTATGGCCAGCACTGCCTTGTCCTCTTTAAGTAGATCTAGCAGGGGTTTGTGGTCCGTTAAAATTACAAATTTACGTCTGTAAAGGTATTGGTGGAAATTCCTAACTCCAAATATGACCGCCAAACCTTCCTTCTCTCTCTGGGTGTATTTAGGCTCTACATTAGCCAAAGTCCTGGATGCATATGCTATTGGGCGTTCCTCCCCATTGGGCCACCTATGAGCTAATATTACCCCGATGCCACACGAGGAGGCATCACATGTCGATACCAGATCTCTAGTTTGCAAATCCCTGAGAGGACGATAGTTGTTTCTTTACTTCCCTGAATGCTATAGCTTGGCTACGTGATCATTTCCAAGGCTGACCTTTTTTTAAGAGTTGACGCAAAGGTGCCAGGATGGAGGCCAGGTTATTATGAACCATTTGTAATAATTTACCAGCCCAAGGGAAAACCTATTGGGTATTAATTGTAGCATACTTCTGGGAATTCTCATCTAACCGCTATTGCAAGTATGCATGACTCATGTCCAGCTTTGTGAAGGGCAGCCCCCTGCTAGCTTTGTGTTTAAGT